CTAGAGTGAGCGGAGGCCGGCTTGAGTGAGCGGATATCGTCCTCTTTTGGAAGACTAAACAAAGTAGTTTCGCTTTCACAACGAAACACACAGCGTCTTCACGACATGGCAACAACAATACTACAGCGAGAATAAAAGTTACGCCTTCTTTCTTTGCGTGAATATTTGGGCGGCGTTATGCAAATCTTCCCACATCGTGACGTAGACATGTGGGGGCGTGTTAGAACGAGCCGTTTTAGGTATGTGTGGCTGACTCTTAACTTTTATAAAGAATATCTCTCTGGATTTGAGACTTTAGTCTTTGCAACTTTACAGATCTTCTTTATGCACCAAGAGCTTGTGACACTCCAAAGAGAAAGGAAAAATTGAAATCGCATCATATGACCCCTTTAAATTGTGTTCTGAAGACGAACGAAGCTTTTAGGGGTTTGGAATGACATGGGGGTAAGTGATTAATGACAAAATTTTCATTTTGGGGTGGAGTATCCCTTTAAGCCTAATATTTTTCGATAGGATTCCATCCCTAAGAATTGAAACAAACGCGTTGATCTACTTCATTTGCATAACTATGGTGCGCTGACAGTATAGTTTTATATAATTAGTGTACATAGAAATCTTTGAAATGTATATTTATCATTAAATTTGTAACTTTTATAGACCTCAGTAAGACATAAAACATCTAGATAGGATTAAATACAATCCCAAATCAGGAAAAGGTTTTTAAAATGCAATAACATTTTGTAAAATGCAATAAAATTAAGATCTTATAATACAATCGTAATTCTGTTTAATCTTTATTTTATTGACAAAAGTGCAAAGAAAAGATTTTCAATGTTTTTACTGACCAAATAAACTGCAATCTGTAAATATAAGCAAATTGGGACAGAAGCACATTTAACACTGTGTCACATCAACTTTCCTTTTAATTACAATGTTTAATTGTTTGTGAATTGAGGATACTAATTGTTAAAGTTTTGCAAGTCAAATTTTTGCCCAATACAAGACTTCAGCTGCTCGTCAGTCTGTGGTCATCATTGCCTGATTGTCCTTTTCACGATGAGCCATACATGTTCAATAGGAGACAGATCTGGACTGATCTAGCACATTCACTCTGTCTACGAAACCACGCTGTTGTAGCACATGCAGATTGAGACCTGCCGTTGTCTTGTTCTAATAACCATGGACTTCCCATGAAAGATGTCATCTTGATGGCAGTATGTACAATGCCAATATAATGCCTCCATGTCAATGGTACCCTCACACATGCCGGACACCCATGCCTTTTTCTCTGATAAACCCCCATACAATGACAAATATTTGCTTGTGCATCTGTCTCTGGTGAAAGTCTGGATGGTCCCTTTGGTCTTTGGGACTGAGAACTCGACATCCATTTTTCCCAGTGGACTCATGTGACCACAGCACACATTTCCACTGTCTCTTTGACTATCTGAGATGAGCTCTGGCTCAGAGAACCTGCAGCATCACTGCATAGAATCGATGTATAGCTTTCTGATGAGCCAAACCTGATACCCTCACCTATTACCAATTTACCCTGTTTATAGACGGTTTCAAAACAGTTTAATTTGGATATTCTATAACCCTTTCACTTTTATTTGGTCTCTGTCCCAACTTTTTTGGAGTGTGTTTCAGCCATCATAATCACAATTTGTTTATATTTGCAAAATATATTTAAGTTGGTCAGTGAAAACTTTGGAAATCTTTTCTTTGTACTTTTGTCAATTAAATAAAAGTTAAAGCACATTAACAAATCACAGATTCTTGATTTCATTGCATTTTACAAAACGTCCAAACTTTTTTTCTTTTTTTTTCTGATTTGGGGTTGTATATTGCTGTCCATTTAAAATGAACATACAATTATATTTGCTTTTTGTAGATAGTATACAGACATTATAATATTTCTATAAAGACACACTTACTGCTTAATCCCTTTAAAGAAAAATACCAATTACCAATTAGAAATAGCAAAATATTACAAATATGGGGAAACAAAGAGGACCATCACATCAATATGTACTTTTGATTCAGTTACTTGAATTGAATTGTATGAATTGAAGAGAGCGCTTACAGAGGTAAAACAAACATCTCCAAGCAAAGATAATATATTTGTTATTAAATGATTAAACATTTATCTGAAACATCACGTATTGTTCTTGTTGTGATTTTTATTCATGTTGGAATATTTATTAACTATTAAAAAAATATTGTGTCTATTTTGTATTTTTTTAAGTCATCAAAATAATTGGATCATAATATGAAAGTGTACTTTGATTTTTATTCTTAGTATTTTTTTTTATTGATCTAGTATTCTGACAATCCAAAACCTATGATTCAGTGAGTTATGATGGCTTTAAGAGCTTTAAGACCACTTCCCACAGTATACAATAAAGCAATGTCAATTTTTTCATTCTTAGTTTTATTCCATGAGCAAGCAGAGTACGAACAGTGCCTTCAAGTGATGACATTTGAAAACAGCAAAACACTGAGTCAACATAAATTAAAATGGGAAACATGATACAAGAAAATAAATAGATAAACACCTAAACTGACAGAGTGGTTGTTAACAATGGATACATATGTGATATGTATTAGAATTATTACTAGTGTTGATAGTTTTGGTAAAATTCGGTGAAATGAGCCATTGTGCTTATCATAAGGAAGCAAAAAATAATATCTTTGAGGGATATGAAAAAGTCTTGCATAATAGGAAAAGTCTCAGAATAACTTTTATGTTCCACAGAAGAAAAAATCATACAGGACTGGAATGACATGAAGATAAGTAAATGATTACTCAGTGATTACTTGGTTATGAAGTTCTTGATTTTGGTTAACTATCCCTTTAAGTAAAATACAAATACATCCCTTTAAGTTAAATAAATTACAAGGCTTTAAGCATCAACATATACTTAAGATATTACTTTTTATTACTTATTATATTACTGGATTATAAATAAACATGTTCATCTTTAATTTTTATTACTGTATAATACTTGGTAAAATTACAGCTCTGCTGACGATGTATTATTGAGAGCACAAGTCTAACGCAGCGACATACTTATCAACGATGTTGTTGTCGTGTGGAGGCGACGTACCCTTCTCACACGTAAAAGTACACGACTGTCTACTTCGGCAGGTAATCCTGTTATGGTGAGTCGAGGGTAGACTGCTCCTTCTTCTCCTGCTTAGCCTTAGAAATGGCACGAAACACACCTCATAATCCTGTCACATAACACTCGCCATACACACACACACATACATATATATATATATACTTTTGGAAATGGAGTGCACTGTGGGAAATACTATTCCAGGCAGTGTGCTCTCATAGTATAATAGACAGCAAAAATAAAGAATGAATGATATAAATACTGAATTATGGTAAAATAAACAAGCTTTTAAGTAAAGAGCTTTGTAAATGTGATTAGTATGCAGTAAGCTTTATTTTGCATATATTAATCTGCATATAAATACAGCTTATGGTGGAAGTGTTAAAGGCAGGGTATGTGATTTTTCAAAAACACTTTAGAAAACTGATTCGGGCCGAATCGCAAAACAAACTTGTAGCCAATCAGCAATAAGGGGCGTGTCTACTCGTGATGTAGAGTAGAGCGCGTTCAGTGCATGGGACGGACATTAGCCGAGCCGAGCGACAGAAAGATAGAGATGGCGGATAAAAAAACAAAAGAGGAAAACATCTGCGGAACGATAAGGCAAGAAGTAGGACCCGTGTAAATATCGGATCAGCTTTCCAGCGCTGGAGAGAACTCAAGGAGCGGAGGCCTGCGATCGGACGCCGAGGT